TTAAAACTTCGAATACTTTGCCGAAAAAAGTAGGAGAATAATAGAGCGGAAGCTATAGGGGTCAGAAGGTTCTCCAGAGTTCTTAAAACAGGAACCACAAAGGAGGACTTAGATTTTAGAAAGCAAGACGCAGCGTGGCAGTAATTATAGAGTTTGGAGACAAGTAGAGAAATCTCGGAAGCACATTTCTCTAAGAAGGCGGGTGGGATCCCGTAACCTATGCTTGCTTTACGGGGGTCTAATTTAGAAATGATGTCTGAGATCAGTGACGGTGTTTTATGCATATGACTCAGTAGAAGCTCTATCCTATTGGGGAAATCAAGTTTGGGTATTCCAAGGGAGTTGTGTGTTGAGTTGGAAGAGAATTTTAGATAAAAGCATTAAACTGTATCTAGATCTAGAGTAGATTTCAGAACTTCGAACTGATTGAATGAAGGAGGGATTGAGGATTGTCTGTCGCTTAGCACTCACCTGCAGAGCCGCTAAATATATATAAAACCGAACTTGAAAGATACTATACGTTGTTTCATTCTACCAGCAAACGGTAACTTTACTTCTTTGAGGAGACGCTTGCCTTCATTATGAGGAGACATATAGAGAGTTCTGTTGCAATCTGATGCGTCACTCTGGTACAGGCGGAAGAAACGATTTCTGCGGTCTATAGCGGCAGGGTATGCAGGTGAGAAGCAAGGAGAGTAACGCGATATAAGTTGGTATTTGCTTGATTTCTGCAAAGAAGGATAACTCAGTCGCCAAATTGGAATTTGAAAATATCTTTCGAAGGCACTTCACTAAGGAAGTCATGAAATGAGTCCCGTGATAAAGGAAATACTTTCAATTGGTAGGAGGTTCTTAGCTGTTGGGTAGCGGAAAGAAAAGTATGCAGACATAGACGCATGATCATAGCTGCCAAGAGGGCAGAGCTGTATAGTAAATCAAGAGACAAGGATATAAGTAAAAAGAGCCATAGAAGAGAAGCGTTTCAATCATGGTTATTGGAGGTATGTTTGGGGAAGTACATCACTTGCATGAGAGATGAAGCCATCGTGGTCAGCGTCAGAGTGCTTAACCCACCTGGCACAGTAGGCATTAAACTCAGCGAACATAGATAATTTGCAAAGGTCTGTTCCTATAATCATGAGCGATGACCAGTATGCAACTCTACAGAGACAGGGTAAAGATGAAGAAAAAACAAAACACACAAAAAAAACAACAGATGGCTGTTAAATGTTGAGATCATGATTGTAATCAGAATTGTGAACAATTCAGACGTGCAAATTAAAGTCAAATTTAAGCACTCAAATACCACGGGGAACATGAATAATAAAAAGGAAAAAATCTAAAGGAAGATGAGATGGGGTAGATACTTCTGGCAAGAGACAAAGAAATGAAAAAAAAATGAAATCAACAATTCAAACAAGAATTTTAAATCGCAAGGACATACATCTGAAATATATCCCCCTCCCCCGAAAATAAACAGTACTGGGTTTGACGGTCATTTATTTTTAACAATGAATATTGCGTGTGTGTATGCATAGATAATTAAGTAATTATAATTATTGCATATATATATATATATATATATATATATATATATCCGTTTCGCTAAAGAAGATTGACAATATCTATCTATCTATCTATATATATATATATATATATATATATATATATATATATATATGAAAGTGTGTGTGTCTGTGAAAGAGATATAGTGTGCGTGTGTGTGTGTGCGAGTGTATTTTTGTCATACGTAATTTTAACAAAACAATAGAGCAAACATGAACTTCTGACACTTAATATACAATGTATTCTCATATGCAACATCTTATATGAACTATGGGAAAATACATGCCAAAATAAATAGAATTTAATAAAAACTGTTTAAATGCACACTTGCTTTTTTCTCTCCTTCATTTGCCATGACCAGGCATGATGTAATCGATCATGGTTCTCCACGATTACCTAACACTTACATCACTATTTTTTTTTTTTTTTCCCAAAATTTAAGCCGTCATCCATTTAATCTATTTCCTAAGTATTCGATGCTTTGGTTTCATCTTTACCTCTTGCCTTCAAACTTTCTTGCGAGTATCAGAATTTTCAAGCCCCGAAGTATTTTAGAAATGTCAACTATCTCTTCCTGATGTTAGGTATAAATTTCCCTTTGGTTTCCTTTTTCTTTAGAACTTCGAATTTGTTTACATATTTGATATTTGAATATATATATATCATATATATGAATGTATTCACACACACACACACACACACACACATATATATATATATATATATATATATATATATATATATATATATATGTAATTAAACCCTACATACGCAAATACATCAGATATCATTACGTAAATTACTGTGTTCAAAATATCATTAATATAAACAAATATATATATATATATATATATATATATAAGTTACACTAGCTGTTACAATATATTGCTAATAAAAATGTGTATACCTTGAAAATTGTAATAACATCTATTCGTTTATATTAATGATATTTTCAACACAATAATTTACTTAATAATATCTGATATATTTGTGCGTGTCGGCGTTTACTTATTTTCAATTTATATTCTATTTCTTTCAAGAGCGCGAAGACACCCGTCTTAAAGTATATATTTTATTATAGTTTGCTGCTGGTTATTCTTATATTAATACTTTAGTTACTATCGTCAGTGATGAATGATGTTATTTCCTTCGTTTCTGTTAGGTTACTTACAAGGTGTTATCGTAAATTGGCAAAAGACTTACCATGTTTACCTGTAACGAAATTTCATTTTTTTTTCGTCCATGCAAGGGCCGGAAAATTAACCTTATTCTTTGTATTGCTTTTGTTCAGTCTTATTCATGGATCGGCTAAACACTTATGAAAACAAAAACGGAATACAAAAACGAGATCAGATATTTCGCCATTTAATAAATGTTTCAATTTATTCTCTGTTAACCTTTCAGCTAACATCGATAGATTAGAGCAAAGGATCCCATACGAACACGCATCAGTCAATATGACAGATCGAAGTTTTCTTTTATAGATGTCTGCTTGTCGTTGAAATAAGTTTAAGTTTATACAAGGAACAAGAGTCATTCTAGGTAGAGGTTTACGGTGAAAAAGAAGTAAGGGACACTGTTTATGAACTTATGTAGGGGAGATAAATGTCGGAACAACATTGGATATGTGCGCGAACATGGTAAATGGATCTTTCCTTGCTCAGATTAAAGACCACAATTTTCGGGGGATACGCTTACGCAGACATGCGTAAAGGACAACTTGCAAACTGCTCTTAACTATATATGATTTTCAGAGAGTGTCTGTATTACGAGTCAATGTAGAAACGTGCATAATCATGATGAATACCATTGTTTATTACACCTAAGAAAGAGTGATTTCTCGCATCTTCCATGCACAGAAATTCACTGAAATGACCATCTAGCCTCTGTAAGATTTCTATTTTCTGTGACATGATCCTTTAGGACGTTGTCGATCTGGGCTTCCCGCAATTACTACTTTTTATAGAACTTTGTCTGTTTGTTTGGTATCCTTAAGCATGCACTGCTAGTCATTAACTCAGACTCACTAGGTAGTTTATGCATATTTCTTCTGAACCTCTTGCGTTCAATTTATTCTGTGAGTATTTAATTTTCCAAGCCCTCTTTCCTCCTTATTTCCTCCGGAAATTTCAACTTTTTGATGTTAAGTATAAGTGTACTTTCTTTCTATATAATCTAAAACTTCGTCGTTGCTCATGTGTTCAGCCCAGCCTTTGACAGAACCATATATCTACTAGTTCAAGTTTATTATTCATCTGTGGAGACATTGTTCAGCATCAAATTCTTAAAAAAAAAGGTCAATAGAATAAAGGTAGAATTGTCTATTTTCCATATATATATATAAATTCTGAGAAAATCAACTTTCATCATATCGAAATATAGTGCAACATACGTCCCCTTCAAATTATCGATATATTCGCCCATTGCAATGATGTTAAACTCATTATTTGCCTTAGTTCAATTGCCTACGTAATGTTTCGATTGATACATTCATAAGACTTCTTCAAGGATCAGCTGAAACGTTATCCGAAAAAGCAAATCAATACAGAAATCGAGCTCAGCTTGCTAAAGGAAAAATACGCTGACTGTTCCTTTAATAAGATTTATCAAAATACAAACCGGTAGTAGTATATTGTTTAATAAATAAACCAGGCGTCTACTCAAATACGAGTATCCAATAAAAAACAACGTTTTACGTGATAAACAATCTGTTAGATTAATATAATAAAAATCCTCGACTTTAGAAAATCTCTCTCTACATATACATATCGTCATCCATATACAGACTGTTTTGCTGTACCACAGCTCGTCAGTGGGATAGACATCCGGTCTTCTCTAGCTATGATCGAAACCCGGCTGAATTGGCGTCAGTCGGAGATTCTACCCTTAAGCCGTTGGCGAAAGACAGGAATGACGGTAAATTTAAGTGTATTTATTTGTAGATAAACACACAATGATTGAGTTAACTCGATTCGCTTTACCGAAGAACCTTGCATTATTAGTAGTCACTGTACACAAACTTGCACTCCCTCCCCAGAGAGCTAAACCGAAATAAATTTTTCAGTAGCATATATATTGTCATCCACAGACGGAGTGATTTGCTGTATCACCGCTCGTCATATATATATATATATATATATATATATATATATATATATATATATGTGTGTGTGTGTGTGTGTGTGTGTGTATGTATTTGCGCGCGGGGGCAGATCGCATATATATATATATATATATATATATATATATATATATATATATATATATATATACATACATACATACATACATACACACACACATATATATATGTCTGTGTGTGTTTATGTGTGTAGGCGTATATATATATATATCTTTGTTTTGCGAGTAGATAATTAAGAAGGTATAAAAATATAGCTATATACAATCACTGACACGACGCTTTTCTGCCCCTGATGATTTTTTTGCAAAACATACGCCTCCTTTCTTTGCCTCTCTATTTCTCTCCTAAAATCCATTTTCCTCATTTTTTTTTTTTTCGTTTTTTGCAGTCAACGGAAATAGGAAGTCGTGATTGAATTATATTTTAGGATGCAAAAGCAAACACAATAAAGATACGCAAATAGATATAAATGTTTATCAAACTTTAAAAAAAATGATCCTTTATCTTAAAGCAATAATGACGTCATATAACAATTCAGTTTAAATGAAAAAAAAAAGGAAGAAATTGTTGTGCCAATCTTTGTTTTCTGACATTTTTTTTTTATTTTGTTTGACGCTGTTTTTTATTCTGTTCCAATTGATTTTGTTGCACGGTACACAAACAAATGGCGAAGTCGTTAAAAGTGAGACCGATTTTTATGGAATTTAGCGTCACTATTGCTTCTCGTAAGTTTCATCTTTAGTTTATAGAAACTCTTAGGCATATTTAAATCAGCGTAAACAAGATTAGATCGTAATCTCTGCTGCTTGGCTTTATGGGGGCTGTTAACGTGAGTAAGAATAATTTAATATTTTTATGCCTTCGCTCGGAATAAATTGATTTGCTGAGTGAGGCTTTTTTTTACAATGGATAACGCAACATCCAACGCATATATTTTTTTATTTATATTGACAAATATAGATAAGTATTCACGTTGTGTCTTTCTTCTAGATACGTAATAGACTTTAATTTATGCTATGGATATTGATAGGTTATCAGTGAAGTTTCACTTTTTACTTCGAGGCCTAATCCTCAAAGATGAAAAGCTCTGAAACCTGTTCTGATTCAGTTACTATTTCAATGTAATATATTTAGATGAACTCTCCTACACTTACAGCTATGACACGAAATGCTACTTCCCTAGGGACTACTGATTTTCAATTCGACAGAAGGTTCTCTCAACTGTGTAAGGTCCGGTAGTTTTTGGTAAATTATACTCACGGTAGAGTTGTTTCGTTTGCGTATTGTTGATTATATTCTCGCTCTCATCTGGTTTCGTTTTACTGTTGAATTACCTTGACTTGATTGTAGAGAACGTTATTTTTCTCAAAATAAATTAGGAACTTTTCGCTATTAGACGACGCCACACACAAAAATGTAAATTTGATTGACGAAATCGGTAAAAAGGTTTCTTCCTTGTAATTCATAGCCCTCCATATTGTCTCCACAATTTTTAACACAAAATTGCATATTTCAACATGAAAACGTGACTTATCATGACACGAAAGTCGTTGGTGGCCGACTCGCTCTATACAGAGATTTAGTTAGCGTATCATAGATGTTACAGGAAATTATGGAGCACACATTATTAATACAACTTGCTCTTCTGCGGTATTTGTACTAGCGAGAACAACGTGCTAAGTATCGAAATAACCAAAGGATTTTTTATGGTTAGCTTAGATATGGCACAAGGTCAAAAATATGAAGCAGCCATTAAGGGTCGAACTCATTACTTAGTCGTAATTGATCCCCATGCGAGGCAGTATAGTGAGGATCCCGAATCGCGTATTCATGCGTTGCTATCATTTAAGAAAATAGTGGTGGTTGTTGAGTCTATTTGATCGGGAATATTTAACAGCGTTAAATACTTTATCTATGGTTACTTCATCAGGGAAAAATAACCGGCATGGACTAATATATATATATATATATATATATATATATATATATATATATATATATATATATTATATATATATATATACAGTACAATTTCGCTGTATCACAACTCTGCGATGCGACTAGACATCCGAATGCCTCAAGCCAGGAACCGATTTGGTGTCAGTCAGATTTTCTACCCCTGAGCTATCTTCATTCGACTGAATGAAAGAGCCAAATTTAGCTCATTGTTTTTACAAATGTAAACAAATATCAATCATTCAAAGTGAAGACCATTCATAACGTCGGTGGCCGTTGTTTAGAATTAGCTTGGCATTCAACAGTACTCAATTGAAATATATTTTCAAGAGCTAAATTATGTAAATATAGATATCATTATATATCATATAATCATAATATAAATACAATTATATAATGAGATATATGGGCATATGGCCGACTGTTTAGAACGTTCGCATTCTGACTATGAAACCCGGGTTCGAATCTCACCAGGGTCGATTTGTCAGGAAGAAACCTTCCAGATGTTATCGGACTGGAGGTTTCGTTCCCAGCCAGCGGCACTTTTGGAAAGTGCCTGAAAACCATACCACTGGTTGACCCAAGCCTTGTGAGTGAATTTGAGTAGACGGAACTCTTGAGTTCCTTCAATAGCGTTGCAAGCACGAAATCATAATTTATCGTGACCGAGATCTTGAGCGATATCACGCTAGATAACACGCTGTCTCCCAGAAACTGTAACACAGTTCTGCTCTGCATAGTTGCAGTATAAACCACATGTGGGGTCTGTGGTGATGAATAAGCACAAATGCGCCTAGCAGACGGGTAAACACGAATAGGAGTGGCCAGCTATACATACATATATACATGACAGAGGTGTTCACCGTCAAAGATGATATACAGTTTTGTTTACATATATGTATGACGCCATAAATTAGCAGCTGTTACGTTATCGACACGTTGTTGAAGCGTTTCTTATTTATTAATATCTGCTGCATGCACCAACTGGTTAGATACAAAAAAAGGCAAATGACTGAAGTCGTGACCTCCCAACCTATACTTCTTTCATAGTATATATCAAACAGTGCATCCGGAACAATGCAAATAAAATGCGTTCGCTCACCATCACACATGAGACACATGTTTCTTCGTATTAGCAGGGATACATCCTTTAGCAGGTTTGGAAGTGTGTTAGAATTATTGTACCTGTAGACATCTGTAAGACATGCTGTGAGAATATAAGGACCTACCAGACAGTCACATCGACTTTCGGACCATACGTTAATCGTAAACTGATGCTGGTGTCTAGCATGTATTGTACCATTGGGATTCCGATCCGCCTACAAATATTAGTAGTGCAAATTTGTTATTCCATCTCTTCCAAATGTTGACTCCTCCGTAAACAAGACTGAAGCGACAAACAACGGATCGGCATTTTGTGAATTAAAATTACGGCAAAAGTTCACCCGTGATAAGTGTTCAGAGGGCGAAAAAAACCTGGACAAGTTTCAAATGGTACTGTTTCAAAAGCTTCTATTCAAGGTACCCATCATGCGGTACTATGAGATTTACAAAATACTAGGGCTACATGACGTGAGCAGATACCTGTCTTCAACAGCCTGTAGAATCTGTCCTGGCGCACGAGCGGACCTCGGTCAACCTCGATGCAGAGTTTATGGATCCTGTCTCAGCAAAGCGACAATATACACCGGCAAGGGGTGGAGGACACGTCTGCCTTCGGTCTGGAAACGAAATCTGATACAGCCGCGAAACATAGCGCCTATTACCATTCCCCACGCTGTATATAAAATCATGTCTGGCTGCACGTTAACCGTTAAAAACAGACCAACCAAAAATATAACTTGATGTATATAACGCCATTTATTATAAGCTTACTGTAAGCTTAATGACTCAACTGAAAATATTTGCTGAAATATGTTTTATGGATTTTTGTCAATGTTTGGTGTAAGGATCCCGCTGCAAAAGGTGTTAAAAGTATTTTTGATGCACACTTTATATTTCGCTACAGACAAAGGCACACAATATATATATATATATATATATATATATATATATATATATATATATATATATATCAGTTATGTCAAGAGCTATGAAAAATTTTAAAGAAATGATGTTTAATGAAAAATATTTATTTACACCCCCACACACACATATATATATATATATATATATATATATTTGTGTGTCTGTGTGTGCTTGTTTCTATCGATAACGTCGCATTCATTTTATTTTAGAAATAATTTAGATAAAACTATACTGGATTCTTACTTTAATTGTCTTTGTAAAAATATATCTGTAAACGTGCACTATTCTGCGTCATTGAACGTGTGTTTATAGCGATGAGATCAGTGTGTGAACTTCCCCATTGTTTACTTTTCAGGTATGGGATATCTATCGGTGTGAGTATACGAATCCTGCATGTGTAATATTTGGAAATTGCCTGAAAATTATGCCTTAATTTTTCAAAATAATAGAGGCTCTAATCAACTTTGATTTGGGGAATCGTCTCACCTTAGAGTCTCTTTTTCCCTTTTCTAGTTCAACTGCTGATGTGGCAACGACTATTGCTGTACGGTTAGCATATCTCAAAGAGGTCTGGCAGTCATTGGCACGCTATTCTTCTGTTGAAAAGTTATAGTAATTGTGGTTAAAGTTTTGAGCTAATTTAATCTACTTTATATCTGCAAATGAAATTTGTATTGAACGACCACACTTCTTGATGCGTTTGCATTATTTCTTCACGATGTCATTAGTTCTCAATTATGCCTCTATGCAAGAGAGAAATATTTAGACTTGACTTGGAAGACTTATCGGTTGGAATATTTCATATTGATTGCATGTTTTTATGCAGACATTTTTTCATGGCTTTAAGAATATTTTAACACACAGATTCGTTGTATTATTGTCAAGCAAAAAGCAAGAACCCATCTCTCAATATCCACAATTATGAAGATGGCAGCATCGTGTTAAATATATTCGGTTATTAAAACATTGCCACTGTTATAAGTAAATCTACATATTCAGACAAACAAAATGAAACTCCATTGATAATGGGTATAGGGTAGCCGAAATTCACGGGTCCACAGATCATTTGGAGAGTTCTGACAGACCCTATGTCTCCAAATGTAACCATTTGTATGAATGCAAGATAAATTTAATAAAAATCTTCAAAGCAATGCCATATCAGTTATCTTCAAGAATATCTGCATGAAAAAATGTTGATCTCCAAATGCACAATTATATATATATATATATATATATATATATATATATATATATATATATATATATATATATATATATATATGTGTGTGTGTGCTTCTTTCTACCCATACAATGAGGCACTCATTTAATTTTAGAAATAATTTAAATAAAACTATGCTGGATTCTTACTTTAATAGTCTTTACTTTTTAAAAACACATTTGTAAACGTGCACTAGTCTGTGTCATTGCCCGTAGCAATAGCATTTTCTCAGCCAATCCCCTGAAATCTAAATTGCACGCTATCGATTTTGAAGAGTTAGCCCAGAATCGCTCTTACACTTTTTTTCATCAATGGCGACCCTATTACTTGTAGCCGACACACAAACACACACATGCACATGCTCGGGCACACACACTCACACACACAAATTTGCCGGCCACACCTCTATCCCATGTGAAAACAGTCATTTAATCTAACGTGCTGTTAACCGTTTCAGTCACAGATGACTTCTGGTTTAGAATAATCTGTTTTTATATGCAGTAATTTCATCTTTGCTAAACCAGAAGTCCGCTTTCACTGAATCAGTTTACCAGTACGTCAGTCCAAATGACTGTTTCTACATGGGATACAGCTTTATTTCCTATCGGAGGACAAATATTTTCTGGGAAAGATCTACAATATTCATGCAAGTAAATGTAATTATTTCTGTTTAATTAAAACAAAGTATTTCCTCAATTAGGTTTTATCCATAAAAATAACTTATAAACAAAAATATATTGAAATATTTGTGGCATTTAATCCTATATATATATATATATATATATATATATATATATATATATATATATATTAATCCTTGAACACCAAGTGAGGAGAGAAAGTTCCTAAGACGTAGTGAGATTTTGAGAGCAAACGAAAATAAGAAAAAGACAAATGTTATTATGGAGCGAGAACGACAGAAAAGCAGAGTAACAAACCATATTGCGTTTAAATCTTTGTAGATCAAAGTTGACTGGACAGCAAGTAGCCGGAAGTGTTTCCTAACCCCGAGATGTGCGGATAGATCTTATCCTTTTAGCACTAAAATGATGGATCTTGTAGCCAATCTAGTATTGTGCTCAAATTCATTGAGCTTTGGTGCCTCACAGGAAAGTAATATTTACTTTGTTATAATAAAATGTGGCACAAGACCAAAAGGGGGATAAGGAATGCTGGTATCAGCCTGTCTTAAACTTAGCTCGCTATGATTACTGATCCGAAGACACTGTACTAATCGTTACACTAGAACAACAAATATTTTTTTACCATTCTTACTGCAGCCACCATAATTCCTCAAATTATCTATGTGTGCCTTACAGGAAATTGCAACAGAACAATTGTCAGCAAAGTCTTTATAGAAAAAGCAAAGGTAATTTACATTACGGAGGTGGAAATGTGACTGAAACCGAAATGCCAGGTCAGGATCAATTCAGTTGCAGATTCTTCTTTGGATTTTTATGAAGAAACTCTAAATATGTAACAGAGACGCCAAAACATATATGGCAGCAATATTTAATCTATGTCCGCATGCTTGACATATATGTAAGATAATTTTGGTTGAAAAATTTTCCCGCACGACTCAGTGAAGCAACTTTCCTAGCAACAGGACTAATAATTGATTCTATATAATCTTTCCACTTCATATATATTTTTTGATATATTATATGTACCTGCAAATATACACGCACACATACACAATAAAACGCATACATACATATATACAAACGGACAGAAACACACATCCACACACATATATATGTTTGTTTAATGAGGTTTTATTACGTCCAAGAAACATGTTATCTCTGTTCTTGGTTATTTTAATATTTGAATATGCATTACATCTGCAACGGAATAGCGTATAGGTTTTTCAAATTTTGTTCGATTTTATTTAGAGCTAAATATCGTAAGAATTGGAAACAGAAAGTATGCTAGCATTACTTGGGCACGTTACATTTAAAAATAAAAGACAGACAAATCATATACATAAGAGAAAGGAATCGGGCCCCTCGACGTGGTGTAATGATTAACAAGCTTATCTTCGATCCTCACTGCATGCCTCATACATTTCAGTTCTTGTTCCCCATCTAATCTACGCTTTGCAAATCATCATGTTTAGTATTCAGCTTGTGCGCCAGCATTTTTTCTTTCATATTTTGACTTAGATGAAATGCTAAACTATTAATACCTATCCAATAGTTTCATTTTTACCGAAATTTGGCCTTTATCAATGTCTATTACCTTAATAATCCTTTGATAATCCTTGTCAGTTGGTATTTATTTCCAAAGTTTAATACATTATTATTATTAAATATTATTTTATTTTTTAAGCATTCCATCCCAATCGAGGTGGAGTTGGCACGAGCACGCAAGGGGGTTACAGAGAGTGGGAACAACTGTAAAGAGACGGAGTAGAAGAAAGGATAAAGCGATTTACGGGGAATAGATCAAGGCATCTGGAGATGTCGATTAACATTGCAATTGAATATTTAGAGATTATAGCTATCAGAGAAGGAAGTAAGAGGAAGTGGGTTCCAGATACGGGAAGTGCGACATTATTATTATTATTATTCTTATTATTATTATTATTATTATTATCTTTGTTTTTTGTTCCATATTAATTTATTTCTGGGTATCAGCCAATATCCTAAGGTAAGAAATGATATTCTAAGCTGACAACTTAAAAAGATAAAATTACACAGCCTAACATCATAGATATTTTACATGGACACAGCCCTTCATAAGAATGCGGCTGGACTTTTGAGTACAATTTTTTGTATTTCTTTAAGCCGTCAACTACCAGGGATCACTTCAAAGAGCGTGCCGGGACCTTTTCAAATCAAAACGAGATTTCTCGCTACAATCAGAATTATTGATGTACTCATATGCCACACTTGATAGATTTTCACTTCAACATTCAGTATTTTGAATGTTTTTTTGTTTATTTTAACATCTATCTATCTATCTATCTATCTATCTATCTATCTATCTATCTATTTCTGCTCATTTTCAGTTTATCTATCTATCTATCTATCTATCTATCTATCTATCTATCTATCTATCTATCTATGCCACGCTGTTTTCATATCTGCCTAGAGTATTTTCTCCATGTCTGCTTAACATATTTCGTTCCTGTCTACCATTTTATTATATTCTATCTATCTATCTATCTATCTATCTATCTATCTATCTATCTATCTATCTGATATAATATATTCTCCATATATATATATATATATATATATATATATATATATATATATATATATATATATATATATTTCACATCTTCTTCTGGTTTCGTGTAATTATTCCGTTCTTATCGAATTATTTCTCACTCTCGCTATCTAACTTATTCTGTTCACTTCGGCTGCTCTGTCTCTCAAGTGAGAAAACGAGAGAATTTAAATTAAAGTGAAGCAGAAATACGTTGATTATAAGGTAATCTTGCTTCATATATATATATATATATATATATATATATATATGTTTTAGGTTCATGTAAATAATTATTTCATAAGGATTTAAGAGAATAATCACACTGAATAAAACTAGAAATATGTCTTTCATTCAGACATTCCTTGAGAAAATCAATAAAATTACCAGTTTATTAGCGTAAACTTGAAGAAAACGAATCTTTTTACTGAACTTTCAAATTCACAAAACATGTAAATCGACAGATACACTGAATGTTCTATAAGAGTAAATCATTAAAACATTAATGGTGACAATTTAGTTTGGAAACATCACTTTCTCTCAATCCAATCGGAATTGCCTCTGCAAAGACTTTTTCCGTTCAAAAAGAACGAAATGGAAACTTATAGGACAATGTCATTACAGTCATTTCTCTGTCGAATTCGGCCTGAAAGGAAAAGTTTCTACGGTAAAAGATTCTTTGGCAACATTAGAACAATGCAATTTACACTTTTGCACGATGTAGCATTTTGTTTGCGAGGCCAACTTTGAAAAAGACGCCGATAATGACTAGCTTATTGTGTTCTCAGGTGTCAGTTGGAGCCTCTTGTTCGGCAGAATTTCTAGAACAAACAAAATGTGAGTTTTACATTAAAGACGTTCTATAGGCGCATATTGCAGTGAACAGAATGAATCAATTTCCCAATTTTCTAAAAATGAACTTTATTGCCATTATCACTCTGCCTCTTCTTGTTACAGTTTATCAAAACATTTCTTCTAATATTCTTACTTCTATACACGCTGAATTATTCATAATCAGTAACTGGTAACACTTGTTGAAAAATCAATGGAGAAAACGACTTCTTATTTTCTATGGTCATCTTCATTTTCCTCTTGATATACATGCTTCCATGAGCATTACAATTTCCATGATATTTTTCAAGTCTCTTCTATTCGGTTCCGATATTGATGCCTACCATAACTATTTTATTTTATTTTCTGTATTTCTTTTTATTCCCCTAAATACTATTTGATATTTCCCACTTTTTCCAATTTCTTTAATTTTCCAGGAGGGGTGCTGTTATAGTTTGATTGATTTCCATATTGATTCCAGGACATAGTTTTGATTCTTTAACCAGAATAAGATGTTCTGTTTGAATTAGATGGCAATTCAAATCCAGAGCAAAATTTAGATTAAACAAAAACGAAGTGATTCTTACACCTTTTAAATATTTCTTTTGTCCGTAAACTGTTTGTGACCCCAGGGCGATCTATACTTAGACCTACGCAACTACGTTTTTCCGAATTTTTATGAACGATTTTTCCGGTGTTATCCGTTCTCTTGTCACTTCCATGGCTGACGAAACAGTTATTTACTCCTGTTTTAATGAGATATTTAATCGGTTTGATAAGGCCTAAATGTCTGCTGATCACCAAAAAGACCTAAAATCTTTTGTTAAATGGGACGAATAATGGCATGTTTATTCAAACATATCCAAAACTCACCTGGTCTCATTTAATGGACTTACTGAACATTTTTTTTTAAAACTTCTATTAGCATGGTTAATGTTAACGTCTAGTCGAATAACTCATTTTGCTTTCTCGGGCTAGCGTTTTCGGCTAACATGAAGTGGAAATACTATAATGAACCAACAGCTAGGTATGGGGTTAGAATTATTGGCTGATTGTGTGGGGCTAGATAATTTTTTCTCACCAGAATATCGCTAATATATTTATAAGTCTATTATTCGTCCATGCTTTGAATTTTGCTGCAACATCTGGTCTCTTAATTCTACTAGGAATTTGGATATTCTTCATAAAACTCAAAGAAGAATTTGAATATTATAAGTCCTAAGCTCGCATCCCGGCTTAAATCAGTTTCCCACCGAAGTAACAGGGCTTCTCTCTGTCTATTCTATAAATATTTTAATGACAATTGTTCTGATGAGCTTCTCTCTTTAGCAACTCGACTTTATGAATTCAAGTGCAGTACTTGACTGGCAGCTAAGTTTCACCATTTTACAGTTGAAATGGCTAGATTCAATCGTATGTTGTGTGTTTGCTTCTCGAGAAAGTCTCGCTTATGGAACTATCTTGGAGGTCTCTTAACTTCCGGTTAATGTTGAACTTTAAAAATTAAATGCAGTGTAATTCCTGTTCTTCAATTGTTGTCTATCATTAATATATTTTCTTTTTCCCATATATTTTCACACTCAGTAAACAACTTTCGTCTTAGAGGCATTACTACCTTGCTTGGTATTATAGTAATTTACCCACGCACGCATGCGCACTCGCAGCTATAAATAGGAGCAGGTACTGCCTTTTGGAGAGGGAAGTTTCCAGCAGTCAGCTCTGACAATCGCACCGAATATTTCTTGCTGTAACACTTTCATTTGTATACGATTGTATTACTGTTTCTGTTAATATATTTCTTTAAGTCAGTTCCTCTCTTTTACTTTTATTTCTAACCCTAACAAGGCCACTACATGGGTGGGGAAATAAAGCCTACAGTAAATTAGAATATTGATATTATCCAGATTTTCTCAAGTAGGGATTTTAATTTTATTACACTACACAATAATAAGGTTATAATTGATATTTTTCAGTGGAATTTAAAAAAAGAAATGAAATAAAACTTTGTAAATATATTGAGCAAATATATTCATCGCTTTAACAATGATTACGTTTATATATTTCTATACATGTTTTTCATGTGAGTGTTTCATTTTTGTCTACGCCTGTACACTGGTCTTTCCAAAAATAAGCAGTTCTGTCCGATATTAAACTCATGGTGCTTCTACTGACAAGCTAGCATAACACGTGTTTGCAGTGAAAATGTATTTATAGTTATATTTTGAGGATGGCTAATTGAAAATAGGTTAATCACATCGAGTGGGTTAATTCTTGGATAGTGCAGGGGGTTAGAGACGGAAATGTGCCTCTGCGAAGTGCCTTTTTGAGAAATAAATGGAATGGTTTCATCATGTCTATCAGGGCGCAGCTGGGAGTTTAGAAAGTTATCGTTTTAATTCGAATGTCACCATGATCGTCGTGTCAGGTGAATTATTGAAAATATCGGTCTGAAGAAATGATGGCGGCGTGAAAAAGTATCACGCTCTGAACCAAGATTTGTGAGTAGATGGTTAGATTAGCTCGAATTCACAACTACTGTAAATGAGGCTTTAAATGTATTGTCCTTGTTCAACTCTTGATCACGTTAGATCATTGACTCCAGAAACAGTAACTAAGAGTTCTTCTTCTTCTTCTTCTTCTTCTTCTTCTTCTTCTTCTTCTTCTTCTTCTTCTTCTACTACTACTACTACTACTACTACTTTTTCTTCTTCTTCTTCTTCTTCTTCTTCTTCTTCTACTACTACTACTACTACTACTTTTTTCTTCTTCTTCTTCTTCTTCTTCCCTGTTCCGCCATAGATTTACTCAAGCTCACCAATCAGCTCATGTGATGTTCATTGCCTTCAACCTGACCCGTAAGTATTAGATTTCGGAAGCCATCGTTCCTGATCATATGCCATAGAAATTTCAATTATCCTTTATTGATGTTTTATATAAGTCCTTAGATTTTTCATTTTTTCATATGTTCAGTTCATGCTATCCTGAACATCCTTATGTAGAACTACTTTTCTGTTGCTTCAAGCTTCTTCATCTGTAAGGAGATTGCCCAGAATACCCTTCTATATAGAAGGACTAATATTACATAACATTTCAGTATCCTTTTTTTGGGTTCTAACGTTTTTCTTCCTGTTTCTTTATACTTTGCTTAGTATTTGGCATGCATATTTGACAGTCCCAGTGTGTTTTTGGATTTCAGTGTCGCATTTTCAGTCTTCTGATAAGGACATTCGCCGATTGTTAAATACTTTTACGTGTTTGATTATTATATATTCAATGTGCAATTTTTGTAATCGATGTTTAGTTCTTTTTGCTCGGCATATTTAATTTTATGAACCGAAGTTTAGTTTTGAAAACGTCGAAGAAAAATCAATGTGCATTTGATGGCGTCTCAATAGCTGAACTCTTCACCGGTTTTACATAACCATTCCATTGTAATTACTAAATAATTACTGCAGGTTTATTTTCAATCCTACGTTATATTTTTAATCCGTATTTTTAATCCGTATTTTTAATCCGATATGATGAAAAGGAAGTTTTTACTACGAAGCAGAACGAAGATACAAATCCTTCCGCAAAGCATATTTCCTTTAATATGATTTCTCAAAAATCTATTAAAATAAAAGTTTGCGGTGTCAATTTCAAATACAATTATCCATCGTAATAACATTAGCCATTATATGCACTCAGAGATAGACTAACACACACAGACACGGAATATATATATATATATATATATATATATATATATATATATATATATATATATATATATATATATATATATATATATATATATATATATATATATATATACATATATGCACTGCACACACACACACAAATATATATATATATATATATATATATATATATATTTAAATAGATGAATAAATAGGGAAGGAGAGAGGGAAGGAAGGAAGGAGAGATCTAGTAAAATACCATGCTAAAAACGTGAGTTAAACTGTCTTAAAATATCATCGGAAATCGACATGGTATAATTTTAGGGAACGCTATATACATACTGTTGAAACTTGACTAATGCATGGAATAATAATGCAACACAAAATGTACTTAGAACAAAATGTATTAAAACAAGAAAGTGTACACAACATCTACATATAGTCTTTTGTATATTCCTGGTAAGACCGTTCCTGGAGAA